TGTTTTGCCTTGGTGTGGTGGGGTCAGATTGGGCGCAATTCCCGCACTGTCTCCAGGGTTGTCCCCTGTAGCACTATGGATCATTGAGAGACATTATGTCTCTTCATGGGGGCAGCTCTATGGTCCTCTCTGTGCTACCTCCTGAAATGATGGAATGTCGACTAGATCTTTTTGGTACAATGACTGTATTCTTTCCAACTTCCCTTGATGCCTCCTGCACCATTCATTATTTTGAGTACAGAATCTTTACACACTGCAACTCCAGGTTTGAATATATTCTTGAGTTCTTTCAGTTTCTGATATGCTTTTGATTTTTTAATTTTGTGTCCTTGTAAATTTCATAATAATATTTGATTTTGTCTTCTGGAACTGCCCTTTGAAATGTTCTATTCAATCTTTTTAGTCTATTCCTCCTTTCTTCCATTTGCTTTAGCTGCTCTATGATTAAGAGCAAGTTTCAGAGTCTCTTCTGACACCCACTTAAATCTTTTCTTTCTTTTAAATGACCTTTTGCTTTCTTCATGAATGACAATGTTGGTGTCCTCCCATGGTGCATCAGGTCTTCATTCATATTCTGTGTGTCAAATCTGTTTTTAAGATGTTCTGCCAATTCCAGTATGATAGGTTCAAGGTCATATTTTGGCTCTTGTGGATTTAAAATTTTTTTCCATGTTTATCTTGAACTTAGATATGATTAATTGATGGTCTGTTCCACAGGTAGCCCCTGATCTGGTTTTATCTGTTTCTTCATCTTGTCTTCCTACAAGTGTATTCAATTTGATTTCTGTGTATTCCATCTTGGAAGTCCATACATACAGTCATCATTTGCGTTATTAAAAAAAAGGTATTTACTATGAACAAGTCGTTGGTTTTGTACAATTCTATCATGTGATCCCCAGCTTCATTTTGATCACCAAGTTTATATTTTACAACTATTGGTCTTTCCTCTTTGTTTCCAACTTTTGCATTTGAGTTACCAATAACTACCAATGCATATTGATTGCATGTTTGATCAGCTTTTTGAAGGAAGTCATTGGTAGAATTCTTCAATTTCTTCATCACTAGCTTTTGTGGCTGGTGCAAAAATTTGAATGATATGTGTGTTGATTGAATTTTCTTGAAGGCAGACATATATAATCCTATCACACATTGCATTGTATTTCACAGATTTAAAAGGATCCTTTCTAACAATGAATGTCGTGCTATCCCTCTTGATTGTGTTAATCCCAGCATATTAAACCATACAAAATAAATCATAACTCATTAAATCGTATGGATTTCTTATTCAAAATTGTCAATGCTAGTCCATTTCAGTTCACTAGTGCCTAAGATATCTATCTTCATGCATTCCACTTCATTTGTGATGACTTCCAATTTTCCTAAATTCATACTTCACAAATTCCAAATTCTGATCATTTGAAGATTTTTACAGCTGTTTCTCTTTACCTTGAGTTGCAGCCCAATAGGAAATGAAGATCTCAAAGGCTCCACTCCCACAGGATTTACCTGACCCACATCACCATGGTTGACCCCCTCCACGAAATCAGCCCCTCTTCAATCACATTTGCAGTGCGCTGAGGGGCCCTGCTGTGGCAGTATCTCTCACTGTGTTCCGCTCTCTTTGTTTAGGTTGTCAGCAGTTGACAATGCTAAGAAGCTGTGCATAAGATTTTCACTGGCCTCTTCCTCAGAGGCCAAGTCCTTCTGCGTTGTCTCTTCGTAGTCTGGAAACTGCTGAAATCTCTTTACTTTGGGTGACCCTGCTGGCATTTGAATCACAAGTGGCATAGCTTCCAGCATCACAGCAACACAAAAGTATGACAAACTGACAGATAAGTATTGTAAATAGATTATATAAAAGCAAATGTGAGAGCAAATGGACTAGTGTAGATGCGATTACAGCAACTAAGGCAAGACTTGCCGTAAGTGGCTCATATAAGAGATACAGCAGGGATATTTAAAGGCTGTTACTTGACCCAATATAGGGTTTTCAAGGCTGTGACCTTGTGGAAGCAAACCAGCAGGCCCTTCTTCCGAGGACTCTTTGGGTGGGTTTGACTCTCAACCTGTCAGTAAGCAATGGAGCACTTAACCATTTGTGCCACTCAGAGACTCCAATATTTTCTGCTAATCTGGATGCTGGATGGAATACAAAAGGAGAACTTAATCATTATGCCAATTTAGCAACCTGAGCAACTGGAAGGTGGTAGTTGCTTTCACCAAAAGAGAAAAGGTTTTGGATAAAACAGTGTTGGGAAAGAAGATTAAGAGACAAGATTACAAGAAGGAAGTGCAGTAGACCAGTGATGGGAGCAAAGCCACTAAGTTCCTGAGGAATATCAATTGTAGACTTCTGACTCCAGGGGCAGTACTTGGCACCCCATCTGAGCTGGTT